TGGCGGGTGTGGGAGCTGCAGGCCCGCGACGGGAGTCCCGGCCAGATGCCTGGTCCCGCGGCGCGGAGCTCCGGGAGTCCTCGCGGTGTGGCCCCAAGCGCAGTGCGGCCTGGGCCCGGACGCACGGAGCTCGGCACCCGCGTTCTGCGGGCTGGCGCGGTGCGGTGGGGCCTCGCCGTGTCTGCCCACCGACGGCCGAGTTCTGCAGCTCCAGGCGGGCAGCGGCGGCGGCGCTGGTCTCGGGACTGGGCTCGGGTCTCTGGTCGAAGGGGTGCAGCCGTGCTGGCGCCCGGCACCAAGGGGTCCAGAAGCTGTGCCTGTCGGGGCGGCCGCAGCGGGTCTGGTCCGCTCTAGGCCGAGGGCAGCCGTCGAGGACGTGCGCGAAGAGGAGGCTGCGGGCCGAGGGCAGTTAGCGCTGGGACGGGGCACTCTGGCTGGGGGTGCCCATGCCGCGCCCCTGCGGCCCAAGCGGCGGGCCTAGCCGAGGGCAGAGGCGAGGCCAGGCTGCAAGGTCGCGGCACGAACCGGGCGGGACGGCCAGCGACTGCGCCCCTCCGCGGCGTGGGGCTGCAGCTCCGCAAACTTCGGGCGAGGTGCTCCCGCACACACTCACACCTGGACCAGCTCCTCCCTCCACCGGCTTCTCCTCCTTAAAGGCGCCAGGAAGCGTGGGGCGGCGCCGGTTCCCCGCCCGCCCCCCGACTCCCCGCCCCCGCCCCAGCCGTGGGCGCACCTCCCCGAGGAGGAGCAGCTGTGGCGGCGCAGCGGGAGCCGGGCCAACGTCCGAGCAGGGTGGGCGATTGCAGGTGCTGGGGAGCGGCCCCCTTGCGCGCCTACGGAAGACTCAGCCCAGGGGCGTCCAGGGACCCGCTTGGGAGATATTGGTGGAATTTTGGATTTTTCCCGCTTCTGCCGAGAGCTGGGATTCACAGGTGAAAGGGGTCGCCTCTTCTATCCCGAGAGAGAACTGGCTCGCGTCGGGGGCGCTTGGTTATTGCTGGCTGGAGGACAGGAAGGGAGACGTTCCGAGCGGTGCCTCCGAGGTCTTTCAGAATTATTTCCAAACCCGAGTCACGGCTTCTCTGCCCATTCCTCACTCTAGTCCCAACTTTTATCCAGGATTCCCAAGGTGGAAAGCGAAGGTGATTTGCCCTCTGATCTCAGTGCACGGTGACGTCGTCGCTTAGAGGAGCCTCTAACGCGCCGTCGCTTTTAAGACTGCGCTTCCCCGATGTGTGTGAGATAGTCACTTTCCCTTTTGGGGTGCTGGGTTCCTCGACAGTTCTAAGGGGTTGGATCTCGAGCCCTTTTGACAATATCTGGGGAAAGCTTTCCACACTTTCATCGACCGCTCTCAATATGATGGAGAGTGACACACAGTTTAAAAGTTGATGAACGCTAGGTTCCGACTTCTTGCTGTCACCTCCTCCGGTCCTCCAACTGAGAGGGCTTCTGGTAGCTCTCAACTCTCTCCCACGCCCTCACCCCACATTGGGCAAGCAGCCCCTTCCCGGAACAGGGAGTGAAGGGAGTGCGGGGGTGGCTCCTGCAGGTAAGCGCGTCTCCCAGATGTGGGGAGGGCAGACGCGACCTTTTTGCTTTAGGGGTGTCTGATTTCAGTTAAATTCCCTGTTGTCCCCGAAGGCCGAACTCCGGGCTAGCCCGGATTTCCCGCGGCACAGTTCCACTGGCCTGGGTTTGTTCTGCTTTCTGCGGTCATTCTTGGACCTGTTCCTGACCCCTCGCTGGGCTTCCAGACCGATCTTCGGGATCTCCTAGGTCATGCGCGATGGCCATGGCGATGAGCCGTAAAGACGGCTCCGGAAGCTTCCACCTGTACAGAGCTTTCCAGGGGGAGCTGTGGGTGCAGGGCCGAGTTGAGGGTCCCTTGGGAGCTCCAGGTTTCCGCAGCCGAGGGTTCTGGCCTGAAATGGGTGGCACCGCCTTCACAAGGTTTAGTCCCGTTTTTTCAGAGCTGAGAGCAGTTCAGCCCCTGCTGCCATCTGAAGAAAGAGGCAAAAAGCACAGATCCTCGCTCCGCGGAGCAGTCGTTGCATTTGCTTGACGATCTTCCGATCTTCCGATCTTCCCGGGCAGAGGTGTTCGAAGGAACGAGTAAAGACGGGCTTTGCATGTGCGCCCCAAACCCGCTTACTTGCCTTCTGAAATAAGGAAGAAGCGAAGATCCATGTTGCTTCCTGTTCCGTTTTTGCAAAGGGGAAATATTTTTAACAACTTATTTTAACTGGATTATACCATCGGGAACTTTCGATACAAATTGTTTGGTTCTTTGTATTTCCCCGATTCTGAGATTCGGATTTTCCGATTTCAAACTGTGGACTATTATTCTAACGTGATTCCATGAATCAAAAGAAACGATTCTATAAAATTCTTTGACTATAGTCATATTCCTGTGGCTTTTAAACTCGTAGTCGAGATCTGAAAGTCCATTGGTTATATATTAAGATGGTAGGACTAGAGTTTTGTACCTGAAACTGTGATGCCAGGACTTGGAGTTATTTTTTTAGTTTTAGATTTTTTTTTCAGCTTTAAAGTGTGTTACTCAATCTGAATTCCTGTTTAGGAAGATTTGGATCCTATAAATCTACAACAGTCTTCCTTAATTCCAAGGTGTGAGTACTGGATCCACTATTTTGTAGCTCAGGAATCTTATTCTGGTAATTCTTCTAATATGCTTTAATGATTGGTCCTGTGGCTTTATAGTTCTCTGCTTTTTGAGCTCCAGTAACTATGGCTAAAAGCCTCCACATCTCAGAATTTTCAGATCCTCTGTGTCTCCTGTCTGTGGCCTCATCTAGGATTCTGATTCCTCTCTTAAACTTTGTTACTACCCAACTGTTTCCTCTGCTCCAAACCTAGATTTATCCTCTTGAGATTAGAATTTGTAAGATGAGGGGTCTAAGATTTTAATGAACAAAAAACTTCCAAGATTCTATCCCGTAAATGTTTTATCAAATAATGCACTTCAAAGTTCTGTACTTTGATGAGTCTGTGACTTCACGGTGTAAAATTTAGATTGAATAATTTGATGCATACAAAAGTCACAGTTTTCCCGTTTGGATCAAAAACCATTCATAAAAATTCACTCAGTGTGAGGACGGCTCTGTCTTTTTCCCTTTGCTTCCTTCTCAGTTTCTTTAATGGTGTTAGGGGTCAAATACTGGAGAATCATTTGAAAACTAAGGATGATGGTTCCAGTCCCTGGAGATTATTCTCCTAGTCCAGCAGAGTTAGGTTCTCATGGCTGTGGCAGGCTAAGCGATTTCTATCTACTTCCCTCTAGTATTCCTAGCACCCCTAGCATAAGCCTGCCCCTTCACAGGGCTTCTAAATTCTCGTGTGTTAGGAGGGTTACTGGGGTTCTGTAGAAGATGTTGGAAGCTCTTCTGTAAAACTACTCTTCTGGTTTGAAGCAGGAGAGTTGGTAAATAAAGACAAGGGGGATTCCAAGAGTCACGGAAAATTCCTGCACTGCCCTTGGCCCAGATGTCCCTGCCTGCAGACACAGAGGTAGCTGGCTCTTCTACTTAAGGAAATCTTGGAAGTTAAAGCTGGAAGGAGACTGGGCCCAGGTCACAGAAAGGACTTGCTTCAAGTCTTGCAGAGGGCTGGGGGTGTAGCCAGGTAGCACTTTCCTAGCTTTACAGGAGGCCGCGGGATCCAACCTTAGTACCCTAATAATATGTACATAAGAAAATAAAAGAATAACAAGAAAGGAAAAAGTCTTGCTGATGGGGAAGGAAATAGGTCTTCCGGCTCTTAACCCTGGCCCCGTGGCATCTTCATATTTTCCTGAAATCTCACAGCTTCACTTATGCTTCATTCTTTAACCTGGGCCACACTCCTTACCCAGCAAAAACAGGAAGTCCGAGCTGGGACATTTTTGAATCTGCTTGAGAATCTCCTTACAGCAGAAACCCAGGGATCTCATTAGGTTGCTGGGCTCTATGGACCTAGAGGGCATCAGAGCAAGACCCTGCCACAGAGATGATCATGTCACACGCGGCCAGGGGACCACCGTTGACATCTGTCCACAGCAGCTGTGTGTTGCTATGAGAAGGCCTCAAGCTCCGGGCTCATAAATGGCCCAGCAGCTTTGAGCCATCCTGGGACCCTGTGACACCTCAGTTTCCTCTTCTGTGAAGTGGAGAACCCATGGAGTGGGCCACATTGTCCACGGTGATCATTTTCTTAGCCTTTTAAGTTGTTTTCATTATGAAACGTGGGCGTGTAAAAAAAGCTGCTGCGGAAAATTCAGGTCCATCTCTTGTATGGACCGACATGAGACATGAGATGCCTCTGTCGAAGAAATGTGGTTGATTAAAATATTTTTTCTGCAGCCCAGCTGCAATTTTGAGTCCCCAGCTGACGTGGACTCTTGTTTCTCTCAGTGGTGTGACCCCGGCGCTTCTCAAAAAGCAGCCGAATTTCAACATGCTGTCTCACCGAGGATTCACTTTAGCATTGCGAGCAGAACTATCATTGCCCTGGCCCCAGACATGGGAGCTGGGGCCCATAGAGGAGCCCCTGCTTCCCACTGCTGCTGATTTGCTTAGACCCCGCCAGCAGCCTCCGGGCCTGTTCACCTTGCTTTCCTAACTTCTTTCGCAGCGGAGCCCTCTTCCTGCGCGGCCGGTGCACCCAGAGTCCCAGGACTGCAGAGCTTTGCAGCGGTGTGGAGAGGAGGAATCTGGCTCCAGACGACTACGCGGAGGACGCGGACTCGGTTAGCTCCCCCACACTCCCCCACTGCGCTCTTTGAGGTTTCAACTGCAGGGCGAGGTGTGCAGGGCATCCATCAAAATCTTCTAGTCCCACGGAGCGGGGTTGCCGGCGTGAAGGCTCGAGTGTCGCGGTGGACTTCCTGGGAAAGCTGTGGCTCGGGGCGGAGGTGATGGCGAGAATAGAACTCCGGACCTGCCCTGCCCAGGCTGGCTGGCCGCTGTGCGACCTCGAGTCCTGGGTGCAGGATGGACCCTCAGGAAATGGAGCCTCCACATTTCTACAGCTGGCACGGAGCGCTGTGTGGGGCTCCGGGACGCCAGGATGCCCGGAATTTACACAGAAGATTGGGTGTTCACTCGAGGCAGAGGCCCTGGTTTGCAAGACAATCGCAAAAGAGCTGGAGACTGTTCTTCCCGCTTTAAAAGAGAGATGCCCCAAATCGGCTTCTAGTTCAACCACCAGAGGCGCAGAGTCGGTGACATGAGTCCCCTCCCCAGCCTAGCCTGGGTCTTCCTCGCCTCCACCTGCCCAGCGCGCTCGTGGCCGGTGCAGCTCGCCCGGCTGCGCGGTCCAGGCGTCTGAGGAGCGACCGTCCCCGTCCTCGGGCTGGGCTGGTAGGTGCACAGAGGACCCCAGCCCGGCTGGCTGGCTGCTGAGCACCGCCGCAGACGGTGGCGTGGGAAGACCGGACAAACGCGCGGGCTGGCCAACTCTCCGTGTGTTTATTGAGTGTTTTTTTGTTTTTGTTTTTTATTGCCTCTTTCTGTCTCGAGTCCTGGAAGTGCTGTCGGCCATTTAGCTTCTGATAGGAAGGCCTCGTGTCCTCCCTCTCAGGGCTCTCTCTCAGGAGTCGGAGTCGTTCCCCACGAAACACTAAAGGGTAGAAAGGGAGGCGCTGGCTGAACATTCCAGCCAATTAGGCCGCCCAGAAAAAACCCTTCCATCCCCGGGGAGAGCGCAACGTGGCAAGGCCAGGACCAGTGGACATCCACACAGGGCGCTGGAGCTGAGCAAGTGGGCGTCTGGATCCTCGGCCTGCCCTCCCTGGTTCTCTGTGGACTCTGCATAACTGGCCTGGGAAGGGGAGGGAGGCAGATTATCCAGTACACTTTCTCTACACGCCTAAGTCTCCAAACAGACCTCACCAGCGGGCATTGTCTCTGCCCAAGGAGGCCCTCAGTGTCTTCCATCAGCAATCAGTAAGGTCAAGTGCACTTTTCTGGGCCTGGCATTCAGGTCCTTCCTTACACAGTTCTGGTCCTTGCCACCCTCCTTTTGCTTTTGGTCTTGCCTCCTTTAGCATCTGAAGACACCTGGACACCTGAGGACTTCGGAGAAGTGCAGCAACAGTCACATCACCAAATAATTGCCTCACAAAATGAGACCAGAGCTAAAATCCAAACAAGCCGAGATAGGCCCAAAGAGGGAGTGTTTGAGCTGCTCCCGGAGGCTTAGGGAGGGCTCCCTGAAAGGGGCACTTGGGGTGGGAGGGGGGAGGCAGGCTTTTCCAGACTGAGGATGGGAAAAGTGGCTTTATGCTCCTGGCACCCGGGTCACCAGGACAAGGAAGCCCTCCTGTGAGAGCCTGTTACTCAGAGTCGCTCCGTCTTGAGTCAGTGTCTTTCTCTGCCTCTTCCTGGCTATGCAACATTGATCCAATCATTTATCCACCCTCAGCCTCTATTTTTCAATCTATAAAATGGGGAATACTAATGTTTGTAAGGGGGTTGTTGAAGGCTAATAATATTAACTTGCACATACATAACATTTTATCATAACTATTTGAATCAATACATACTTAGTATGCAGTATGATAGATATGGTGAATATTTAAATTTTTAAAATCATTACAGTAAAAGGTACATTGTTATTAATCTTTCCCAAAATATCCTCTCCCTTACTTCAAACACTTACCCCATTTTTCTTGCCATTTTGAGGAGCGCTTCTAAAAGTCCTGTTTTATGAGTGTCTTTAGTTGCACTGCCATGGCTGCCTCACTGTCCTGAGTCAGTTCAAAACATTTACCTTTGGTGGTCATTTCAGTTTTGAGGAAGAGCCAGAAGTCTCACAGTGCCAGATCCAGTGAGCAAGGTAGATGAGCACACACTGTAATGTTTTTACAAGCCCGCTCTTCTGCTGGATGGCCCTTGATGGCGGCACTAACTGTATTTTTGATCATACCACACAAAGACACTTATGAAAGAGGACTTCCAGAGCTGCTTCAGGAAGTGCCAAGAGTGATGAGATAAGTGTAGTCGAAGTGAGGAGGAGGATGTTGAGGGGGTTCAATGGCAGCGTGTCTTTTACTATAATAGATTATTTTTTATTTATATTGTATGTTTTATTTAAACACATAGTGATCAACCCTAGTCATTAATGTATCAGGAGACCTGGGACTAGTCTCAGAGGCCTGTCACTGGGCATTAGGGGTTCATCCAGGAGATGTTTCAAAACTCTAGACCTAGAAGGGAACTGGAAAAGACCACCTGGGCAGGTGAGCAGCTGTAAAGGGGTCTGAAATCAGGGGCTTCACTGGAGATAAGTGGACACAAGGGAAGATTCAGTCTCAAAACAGCAGCTTCTACCCTAGGTTCAGGTGAGGGGGATACTGGAATGATCCTGGCTTCTAGAGATGAGAAGTTGGATTAGAGAAACTGTTTGGGTAACTTGGCTCTCTGCTGGGCTGGGGTCTGAGGGTCTCAAATGGGAAGCCTCATCCTCTGGTGTTGTGGAAATTTAAGGATGTGGATCTGCATGCAGCCACAGCCTCTGCCTGGGCACATCTGTCCCTGCCTTTTGGCAGGAGCATGGTGAAAGTTTCAGCACTGGACTGGGCCCCAGCCTCTGTGGGTTTAGAGGCATAGTCTTCAGTCCTGAAGCTGTCCACATGCCCATCATGGCCTGAGCCCTTGTCAGGCCAAATTGTCCTGGCTGGTGGGACAGTGGCACTGGAACTGCTGGAACCTCACTCTGGGTCAGTGGGAAAGAAGAATCTCTCTAGAAGTGGCTAGGAGGCAGGGGTGACAAAGTTTGGGAGGTGCCATCATTCGGCTGCCATGTAGAGGTCAGTGTCCCAGTAGGCTGGGCTGTCCCTGAGAACCCTGTATAACCAAAGTAGGGGCCTAGAAACAAGCTATTGAAGGAATCACATCAGTGCTTTCCAGACCCTTCTGCAGGCTTCTTTCACTTCTATCTTCAAAGTTCTAACCCTCAGAAAGACTTTCTAGTATAACCCCGTATCTGATTTGTGGCACAGCCTCATCTTCTGGGCATTTGCAGGCCAGAGATGATTAACAACAGTGTTACCCAGTGGGAAGGCAAGACTGTCTCAGTTTAAGCAAGCAGTTCGACCTCTTTGCTGACCTACTTCCTAGGACCCCTCCCTGTGGAGCTGAGTTTCTAGAATTTGTCGTTTATGGTACCGAAACAGCATAAATAGATGAACAGAAGTGGAGGACTTTCACCAAGGAAGAAAAGGCAGTGTCCTTCACACCACACCCTAGCTATGCTGAGCATTTTACTTGTGACTTAGAAGAAGACACAAAAAGTAAGTTGACCGGCTTGTAGCTGACCATACTGAGGTGTTCGTGCTGGTAGCTGACAGACCCAATGCTTGCAGTAATCCCTAGGTTAGGAGGCTGAGCCAAAACCAACAAGAAGACATTTTAAAAACTGTTATGAAAACATTGTAACTTCACAAGAGACAACCCAAGGAAAAAAAGTTCCCCACATGCCAATTACCTGTCATTCATCTACTAAGTTTTTCTGTTCTGTGTTTTTTTCTCTTTTGTGTTCTTACACATATACAGAAAGTGTATGTTTGCATAGGTGTAACCATGATGTATGTACAATTCTGTAGTCTTTATACATGATACATTTGCATTATTTTGTAAACATAACCACATGTTGCCCCTCACTTTTTTTTTTTAATCTATAATTGTGAATGAAATTGTCTAGTGTTGATCTAACTCTCTCATTGTAGCTGGGCAATTAGGTAATTTCCAGTATCTTTGATATAGGTGGTGCTGCCAGGAACGTGTTTGTATAAAGAGCTTTTTATTTCTTTTGAAATATCCTTAGGACAAATTTCTAAGTGCAAGATTTATGGGGCCACAAACATTTTTACGATTCCTAATAAAGTGCTACCAACTGTCCACAAGTGTATCTTGTAACTGACTATGATCAAGATAGTTAACATATATATCCTTTGAGAGTTTCTTCATGCCCCTTTGTGACTCATAGTCATATATGATAGTAAGCAATCATTCACCTACTTTATGTCACTATTAATGAGTTTGCATTTTATAGAAGTTTATATAAACAAAATAATGCAGTATATTCTATACTGTCCCATGATTTTAATTGGTGTAACTATTTTGGCATTCATCCATGTTGTAATATCAATGGTCCGTTCTTTTTTTTTTTTTCTAAATATCACTCTACTATTTGAATACACCACAATTTGTTTATCCTTTCATTTGTTGATGGGCATTGGGTAGTTTCTGTTTTTAGCTATCATAAACAGAGCTATTATGGGTATTTGGATATTTGTGTATAAGTTTGTGTAAGCATGTTTTTATTTTGGGGGGGTAAATACTTAAGTAATCCTTTCTTTTCTTTTTTTTTTTTTTCTGGTACCGGAAATCGAACTCATGACCTTGCGCTTTCCAGGCAGGCGCTGTGCTGCTGAGCTAAATCCCCAGGCCCTCTTGGGTAAATACTTAAGAGGGGAATGTTGGGGTGATAAGACAGATTTATGTTTTCATTTTTAAGAAACTACCAGGTTGTTTTCACAAAGTGGCTATGTTTTTTTCATTTCCACTAGTAGGATGTGAAAGTTGCAGTTACTTTATGGTCTCACCAAACACCTGATTGGTTAGCCTTTTTGATTTTACCTATTTTAGTGAGTGTATAGTGTTATCTTATTGTAGCCTTAATTTGTATTTCCCTCATAAGTAATAATATCTTTGACTGTGTAACAAATTGCTTCAAAATTACTATCTTAAAACAACAAACATTATTATCTCACAGTTTCTTTGGGTTAAGAATCTGTGGGTAGTCTAGCTGGGTGGACTGGCTCAGGTCTCTCACAAAACTGCAGCCAAATTGGTGGGCAGCAGTCATCCCAAGGCTGGCTAGGGGCTGCAGAGCCCACTGCCAGCTCACTTATGGTATAGCTGTTGGCTGAGCTCCATTGTTCATCCTGTGGACTTCTCCAGTGGCTGCCCAAGTATCCTCACAACACACAGTGGCTGGTGACCTGTGATAGAATGCCAGAGAGACCCCAAGACTGAAGCCCAGTTGCAGAGTTGCATCCTATCACTCTTATTTACATTCTGTTTGTTGGAAACAAGTCACTAGGTCCTGCCCTTGTTCAGGTAAGGGATGACAGTGTGAGTATCAAGAAGCGCTAACAATTGGGGCCATTTAAAAACTACTTATGATGTTTTTTTTTATGTTTTCCATTCATATTTTCTTTGCTAAAATCTGCCAATTTTTATTGAGTTTTTTTTTTTTTTTTTTTTTTTTTTTTTTTTACTGAGTTCTCAGAGTCTTTTATTTTCCTTTGTATTTTTTGTTTGTTTTCTGTGTGAGGGTCACTCTCCTTGTAGTCCAGTCTTGCCTTGAACTTGCTAAATTTCACAGGCTGACCTCAAACTCATGATCCTTCTGCTCACCCTCTGGAGTGGTGGGATTACAGGCATGGAGCACCATGCCTGGCTAGAATTCTTCGTGTTCTTGATACTAGTCCTTAGTCAGACATATGTTTTGCAAGTATGTTTCTCCCAGGAAGACTGTGGTTTGGCTTTTCATTTTGTAACAGTGACTTTTGAAGAGCAAATCTTCCAATTTATTGCATTTTAATTTTATAATTAGTGATTTTTGTGCCTTATTTTAGAAATCTTTCCCTAACCCAAAGTTACTAAGGTATTCTATGCTGTTTTCTAGAAGTTTTAGCATTTACATTTACGTTAATGATATTCTTAGAATTAATTTTTACATATATATGATGTAAGTCATAATTTATCTTTCATTGTCTACTCATTTGTCCAGAACAGTTTGTTGAAAAAAATTTCTTGAGTTTCTTTGACACTTGTCTTTTCTTGTTGCTAAGACAAAATACCCAACACCCAAAGTTAAAGGGAGAAAAGTTTGTTTAGCTCACAGTTTGTGGAGGTTTCAGTCTATAATTGGCTGGCTCCAAGGCAGGGCAGCACATGGCAGAGGGGCAACAGTTCATGGTGGTGGAAGACAGCAAAAACAAGAAGATAGAGTGAGACAAGCCTCTCTCTATCCCTTATATTGTATCCAGTCTACTGGGATTAGGGCCATGCCAATCCAATCATTGGACTGATCCAGCAATCACTCACCCTTAATCCCAGCACCCTTAATCCTAGCCTTGCACTACAAATCAGTCACATACTTTAGATTCAGCCACCTCCAAAAAAATCCCTGTGAGGCATATGGCTTTGCGGGGGCATCTAGATACAAAACATAACAGCACTCTTGTTAAAAAATCAAGTTTAGCTGGGTGTGGTGGTGCATGTCTGTAATCCCTACACTCTGGGAGGCTAAAAGATTACAAATTTGAGCCCAACTTAGGCAAGTTAGTGGCTTACTGTTTTCACTGGCAGACAGTGGAGCAGATGCTGGTAGGCATGGGATGTTATGGTTTTTTTCTTCATGACTCAGGATTTTTTTTTCTTTCTTCTCTCTCTCTTTTTTTTTTTTTGAGACAGGGTCTTGTCCTATAATTCAGGCTGCCCCGAACTAACTATATAGCCCAGGCTGGCCTGGAAGTTGCAGTAATCCTCCTGCCTCAGCCTCCTGAGTGCTGGGATTACAGGTGTGCACCACCCTCCTTGGCTACAGGATGTTTTATTGTTTTGGTGGATATTCAAATGACAGCAGAAAGCAGTAGGCCTTTTTGTTTTCAGATCAACTGAGGGTATATGAGGGCTCATAGTTTAGTTTGTTGTGCACACCATCCCTGCAGGAGAGCTTTGACCAAAATAACTTTGTCCAAGGTG